CTCTCTCTCTCTCTCTCTCTCTCTCTCTCTCTCTCTCTCTCTCTCTCTCCCCTGTATCTTAATCAGTGTTGCGTTTAGCTAACCTTGATGTTTCCCCTTGTTGGGTCAGCAAGGTTCAAAGTCTGCCTTCAACTCCAGGAAAACAGAGGGAGGGACGCTGGGGCACACTGTGACATTTCATCCAGTCCTGTTTGTGTGTGTGTGTGTGCGTTGTAGTTCTGTATTTCTAAGGACCATGTGTCTTTCCAAGAATAGAAGGAGAGTGCCAAATCCTGCAGGACTGAGGACACATTGCAGATTCTTATTCAAAGAGTTCATGTAGGAATTAAATGTGCTTTGGGGGAATGATCAGAAGGCTTAGGTTAGGAGTATTTGTAATTTTCTTTTGCACAAGTTAAAATCAAACTGATGTAATAATGTTGTCATGTTCCCAGACTTTGGTGAGAACAAGCTATGATAATTGATAGAAAAGATGGCCACAAAGATAGACCGTAACTTCTCCTTTAAAATCTGGATCAGGTTTAGGATCAGGATTAAAAGTCAGTAATCCTCACAAGTTTAGTAATCAAAACATGTATGTGCTCTTCCAGCACATGCTCAGGTTTGATGTGTTTGCTTGTTTTCATCCCTCCCCCCCACCCCCTCTCTCTCTCTCTTTTCACACAGTGCTGCTGGATGTCTCTCTCTCTCTCTCTCTCTCTCTTTCTCTCTCTTTCTCTCTCTTTCTCTTTCTCTCTCTCTCTCTCTCTTTCTCTCTCTTTCTCTCTCTCTCTCTCTCTTTCTCTCTCTGGGCCCCTCCATTGTTTCTCTGAACCAGACTTCCAGGGAAACAACAAACCTTGTTTTTCTCCCCACTAACCCCCCTGTTATCATCCCCTTGCCTGCACCTAAAGCCACATCCCCTCCAAAAACACACTGAACCTCCGTCTCATCACACGGCAACAACAAATTGCCATATCCCTCCACGCTGAATATCGTGCCCTACTTTCCGCCCTTCGGTTCACTCTGCTGTCAGAAGAATGCAGCCGGCTCTGGAGCTTAATTGAAGCAGGAAGCTATTTCCCCGCTATAAATGACTTGTGATTACTGCTGTTATGCGGCCTTATTGCACTTGTCAAGATGAATTCATCCCGCTTCCTTAATTTGACTTACATTTCACAGCAAAAAAGGGGGGGAGCTTGGAAGCCAGGCGTCACGCCGGATGGCTGAATACTTGAAAGTGCAAATACTCACCGAAGCTGCGCTGCCATCAATCACACAGCGAGTCGTACGATTAAAAAAAGGTCTGTGGGCGAAGGTCGGAGGAGGTTTGTGAAGCTTCACAATGAAAGGTTGCATGTGGAGCAATAGTTCAGGTTCTAGGAGGTAAACTATGTGAACAGCAGGACTCAAAAGGGACCACCTCTTAAAGCTGGCACTAAACTGTCTGGTGATCAATACATCGAAGTACTGGAGAAGCAAGAAGAACTTCTTTTACTGAAGTTGTACGTGTAAGTCAAAAAGATGTAAGAATTAAGACTTCTTAGCCAGGCTGGCAGTGTTTCTGTGGAGGACAATGTCTGCCGGTCGGTCCGACACTTTGGTCCAGAAATACTTAAAGAAAAGATGGATTTCTAGGATGTTTGGTATAAATGTCCCTGGTGACCAGAGGATTAATTCTACTGACTGTGGTGATCCCCCTGACTTTTCCTCATGTGTGGCTTCGAGTGAAACGTCTCAACAAGTATCGGATTGGTTTGCCATGAAAGTTGGTAGATATTCACGTTCATCTCAGGATGAATTGTGATTAATGTTGTGATCCCTTGACTTTTTTTATCTAACCATTAACACTTTGGTTTATGACCAAACTGATGACATTCAGTAAGATGCACAGAGCTTCAAACATGGCTGTAGATTTTTATTGAACTTGTAAAAATATACAGCTCCTGTAATCGACAGGTCGATTTTTACATGAAGGAGCAGGTATCAAGTGTCATCATATTTGACCCTTTATTTTTAAGACTGCACTACCAGTGTGGGAAGACTTACAGACTGGCATCGCAGAGAAAAAATGACCAGAGCAGAGGGCATTCCTTCCAAACCGGTGGAAATGATGATGACTTTAATCACCTTTGATAGTTCAGGAAGGGTGTGTGTGTGTGTGTGTGTGTGTGTGTGTGTGGCTTACACAACGCTGGCGTGGCAACAGCAAACAGGACGCAGCGAGACAGAACCGGCTTTGTTGCTGCTAAATGCCATGGAAGGTATTGTTTGGTCCCAAAACAACGGGTCAGCGATACCGAGAGGTCAAGGCGCCAGGTGCCATCGTCTTCGCTGCTGTGTTGCAATAACACGGTGCCCCCCCCGACACTGACCCGCCCTCGTCTTCACCTTGACGACTCCTTGGTGTTCAAAATAAGAACGAGTGTAGGTCTGTTAATCAGTTACGCCTGCCAGCTTTCTTCGTCTCCGTGCAGCGAGGAAGGACCCTGAAGGTCACATGAGAAGTGGTCGGTTCTGTTGGATGGTTGATGTTTTGTACTGAGGAGACGCTCATGATGGTTTCTAGCCCGCAATTAAAAAAAAAAAGACCTTTTCTGTGAGTGACGGTGCTTCGTTTCTTCTATATACTGAAGTAGACTTGATTAAGTTTACTGAGAACTCACTTCAGGTTAAGAAATTCAGTTTCCAGCTTGATAGTAATTATAGTAATTATAATTATAAGAATGCACTTCATTTAATTGCACTTTTCATGTAAGAAGAGCAGCACAAAGTGCTTTACAATCATAGGAAGAATAAGATGTAGAACACGATTCATAAAATAAGATAAAATACATAGAATGCATAAAATAAGATGGAATATAAAACTCACTTAATAATGATAATATTAACATCCACATTTGCATCAATAAACACTGCAGAAGCATCAAAGGGTCTCCATTCTACATCAGTGGAGGTTTGAGGTTTTAAGATGAAACTGGAGAAGAAGAAAGTTGATGCAGTTACATTACTGGAACAGTAGTTTCTGTTTTTAGCCAAAGTGTGTTTATTTCCTCCTTAAATATGAGCCAAATATTCAACCTAAATGTTACAAAAGTTAAGATGGCAAACTGTTCGCGTGTGCTCCTCTCTGTGATCAGCTCTGCGTGTTAAATAGCAGTAATTCATGCTGCGTTTCGTTGCTGCGGTAGCCTCTCATGGTTTATTCTCCAGAACTGTTATATGTCACTCCAGCTTGTATTTCCTTGTATATCCTGCAACAGTAGAGCTGAAACCGTCTCGTCCATCCCCAGACACACAGCGCTCAGTCAACTGCTTGTTGCTTCATTCCTCCTGACAGCTGGCAAGATAACACACTCTTCCAAAAGTTTCACACACACACACACACATTTATTTTTACTGTCACACAACCACGTACTACTCCTACTATTACTACTATTGCTGTCAGGCTACTACTACACCGCTACTTCTATTCCTGTCGTTGCCGCTTCGCCCTCTTAAATCATTTCCCTCGGGCATCGTCTCGCTGCACCTCCAGGCAGCGAGGTTTGTGACGAGCAAGACGAGGCAAGCCTCCGATCGCTTTGTGTGGGAGTCAGAGGTTTCTTTTTTTCACACATTTAAAGTTTTGAGCTAAATAGAGCTAATAAAACCTAAAATAGACGTGCAAGGTGATGACTGTAGGAAGTAAATCATAATATCATTTTGAAAATTTGAATTTGGTTTAGCAATTTCTGGGACTTATTGACCAATAAGTCTTTTTTCTAGAGTTCAAAATGTCCTCATTGTGAACTCATGGAACACTATGTTCTGTAACAACAGCACCACTGCTTTTACTGTTCACCTGTAGCAGCCACTTAACTGTAGTAATACCCAACTGTTCACAGTTATAATTGATGTTTACACATCTACAAATACCCATATTTATAACAGGGCTCTTCCATGAGGCCTGGTTAATTCATGTTTTCCAGTCTGGTATCTTCTCCCGTTTGGCCAAAAACAATCGACCTCTTAAGATCGTTTTAGAGTCGCTTGTCTGAAAAGCAACGTCTCAAAACTCTGAGTTTCTCCAGCGGTTCCAGGACCTCTGACAGAAAGCTGAAAATTTCACTTAACCGAATATGAATCATATTGTTCTGCATCGTAGCTTTTCCATTGTGTTTACTATCAATGGCAAAAAATAGCAACCGAACATCCACTCACACAGAAAAAGCCTTGTGTAATAACATTATGCTGTTTACTCTACTGAAGCAGCCAGGTGTGTGTGTGTGTGTGTGTGTGTGTGTGTGTGTGTGTGTGTGTGTG